CATTTCCAGTGTGCGGGGCGAAATCTGGTGCCTTTTTGTATTCTTTTCGTTTTTCTGCCAATTATAGGTGCGCCATGTCGATATTTAAATTTGATAAAATGCATTAGATTGATTTTGTGAATTGAACATTTTTCCCCCTCAAATAATTCAAAAATGTTGATGCTTATTGAAAAAGGACAAGGCTATTTTTATTTTCTTCCACTTTTCTGCCGAATACTATCAAAAATGTTTTTAAATCTTGTTTTAGGCAAAAATGACTGTGTGTTTATTGCACTTGCCAAATTTGAGAATTTGAAAAAAATGTAAGAAATTCTACGAGGGTTACGTTCAGCTAGTGATGTAAAATTTATTTCTTCATTCTCAATTGTAAGTATCAGTGAAATTCTATTCATGAATATTTTTAAAATGTTTCCAATTAAAGTACTCGTTAAATTGACTGTCGAATCGCATATTGCATTCAAGGGTTTTAAAAACGTCAGTCCTCATAAAACAATCGGAGATTCTACCTCAATGGCGGAAAGAGTAGCTTTGTTCTTCTTGCTTTACCTTTTTTTTTTATTATTTTTGCGTTTGGTCTTAATGGGATTTTTTCTCTAATCAGAATGAACAGAAACAAGCAAAAGTGTCTTGGCGTGTGTCAGAACTCAGTCGAGTTCAGACAATAGTCGGGGTGCTGAATGATATGCTATCTGCATATCAACCTTCTTCGTCCGTAGAAGAAAAGGAGACCCTGAAGCAACTGTATAATTCCTGTCTTGAACTGAGACCTGGTCTCCAACGTATCGCTGAGCAAACCGACGACGGAGAGAAGGACGCCTTTGGTTAGATTAATTCGTTATGTTCAGTTTTTTTTCTGATATTTTATAATCCATCTTGGCTTTATCTTTTTTTTTTCAATTATATTTACAGTGAACATTGTGAATGTGAGTGAAGAGTTGGACGCTGTAATTCAAGATTACGAATTCGTGGTTGACGGGAAAGGATCACCCTCGAAGAGACGAAAATCAGGAACATCGGAAGCTGCATGTTTGCTTGATCTGGACATGCTGAATTTATCCCCCGAAGGGAAAGGTATTTTCCCAAATCTGTTTTTCAGTGTATGAGCCGAGAACATTCCCAGTTTTACTCTGTCTAGAAATGCTTTTTCTTGAGAATTTTACCCAATTATTTAGAGAATTTTAAATATCCTCAAAACTGTGTGCAAAAATTTCGGAACATTTTTGGAGGACCTATTTTGAACGCTTCGTTGTGGTATGATCAATATAAGTGGCCAAAACTGTTGTTGTTAATCTAAGGTTGTTTTTTTTCTCACTTTAATCGATGTGGAGATGATGAAATTTAAGTAGCTTTGAAGCAAAGTGTAAATCTGTCCGCATTAAGTTTCTTCGAGAGTGTCGTCGAATTTAAGTCATATAGTGTAAAAGGCTGTTCTCGTAATCTTCTTGTCTTCACTCGGAATATTATTTGTGCTCAAGAATCTTTCGCAGAAGCTGGAAATAAGCAAGGCAATCAATCCCAGTTGTTGGAGGAAGTCTTCGGTTCGTCCGTTGAGCTTGAGAAGATAAATGGATCTGGTTCCAGCAGCCATCCTGATTATTTACATCTGTGGGATTTTGCTTCGAAAGATTCTCCTGCTGCCCCTCAGTTGATGCCACAGGTTTCATCCGCTAGTAAAAGTGAGTTATGATTTTTCTACTGAAATCTCATGATTCACGGAATCAAGTGTTCAGTGGACTTTTCAACGGGACGTGTTTTATTGTGAGATTTTTATAGAAAAACGAAAATGTGACAGGAGTTTTGGCTTTTTTTAAATCTGCAATGCCTTATCTTTCTAGCTTGAGCGTTGCCTTAATCTCCCGCTCCAGGATATCTTACAGTATTCATAAACCTAAACTGAATTAATTTGATCTTTTCGCGAAGTAACGGCTTAATTTAGCGGCTCTTGGTTAGCTTGATCTGGGCGTCATTTATGTGACAACGAAGTTATTCAGTTTCTACGTAATCGATCGTTAATTTGTTTAAGCTTTCATTCCTTTGAAAATACATGATTTGTATGTACAGCTTCTTGGGAGGCCAAACCAGCGATAAAATCATCACCTGCTCCCGTTGATCAAAAATCTTCATCGTCAGTCTTTGAGGATATCGAGAAAATGGCGAGGGATCGTTTATCCGTGAACAATATCACGACGAAGGTAAAACCATCTCGGGACGAGAAAGTTGAAGTCGGTTCGGGTGATACGAGTGCTAAAATAACGCCACATCGAGTGGTTGTGGAAGACACGCGAGAACTCGAGGCTGAAGAGATTAAGGCGGGAAAACCTGTTGTTGATGCCACGAGCGTTGTCAATCTAAATGAAATTTCCCTGTCATTGGACGACGTCATTCCAGGTGAGGCTGATAATGCGAATCGAGCCTGTTGCGATGAAATTGGAATTGTCGAAATCTCTTGGCATATTTTCATTTGTGGTTTAGGACACCTGGTTGTTGAGACTGATATTAAATAACTACTGTTTGATAAAATAATTATTAAATTTAAAAATAATAAATAATGAATATAATGTACAGTACATACTAAGAAACGAATTCAAATAAAAAATTAATTAATTTAACACTCAATTTTTTCCCCGGAAAAATTTCGCGTCATACCGGTTGAAAAGTCCGGGATAAGAGGGATGATACGGAGTTGTCCGCGCGAACTTTTGGTCTTATCAAATGTACGGTACCAGAGTGATACAGTACATGGAAAAGTGCCTCGTTTGATCGATTGCAGTATATATGTATATGTATATATATATATATCGCGCGTTTCAGGTGATAGAGAGCCAGTGGAACTAGTCAGTACGAGCGACGTGTCGCTGAGTCTCGTGGCAGCGCGGGCCGGGACCTGGCCCGACCTGAGCGTCGCGGTGCTCACGTTTGCCAATAAGTCCAAGTCCCGGGTCTCGGACTATGTTTTCAAGGCGGTCGTGACGCCCAAGACGGTGCCTGTGCGAGTGTTGCCGCCGGATGACGGTTTGACTGGACTGCCGCCGTGCAGGCCCTTTGTACCGCCGCCCATGCTCACGCAACTCTTGCTGGCTTCCAACCCCAAAAAGGTATTTGCTTGTTTTTTGTTGTTTTTCTGACGCACGTGGGCGAAATTTACGACCGGAACTAGGACGGAGGGTTTTGACGGGATGGGTGGAAGGGAAATTAAGTCACTCGAAGATATTCGAAAGACGAGGAAGCGAAATTTCAGAATATTGACTTGAGCAAATGTTTGAACGTATGGGTGTTCGTCCTGGGAAAATTTTAAAATCATCACGAAATAATTATTCTTCGATCAGATTTATAGTCAATTGTTGAAAAAAATAAATACGGTACAGTAGTGGGCACTCACTGGTTTCCAAATGATACAATCCAGAATAATTTAAAACCCCCGTTACTACACAAAGGATATTGATGAGTTTACGCAGTTACGCGTTTCCTTGAGTGGTGAAATGAAAAATTAACGATATTCTGGATGCAACAGGTGCCTCTGTAATTCATAAATTTTTATCTCTTAAATTTTATCCTACTTATGATTTAATTAATGCTTTTCTTCTGGTCCGTTGCGCAGAGATATTTTATGTAGCATCATAGTTCTGAAGTTTTATGTAAATGCTAAAAAGAAAAGATTTTAAGAAATATTCTGGTACAATGGATATTGATTCTTGGTTCCAAATGTATTTGATTTAATCAGAAGTAAACGGAATGAATTATGCTTATTTCTTTCCCCGAAAAGTTTATAATTTATATCTACTCTTCTGCAAAAATGGCACACCAAAACGCAGTAACTGTGGTAAAACCTCTTGATTTTTTTTTATCTTCAAGTGCTTTAATTGATTTCAATACATTTTAATTTTTCTTGAATCTAGAAAAAAAAACGATATTTTTCAATAGTTGAAATGAAGGCGGAAAGGTGGTCAACAGTAATTGATCGAATTATATCGAATTTATTCTTTCCAATCGAATAAGTCAGGAGAAGTAATCGTCACATATTCTTTCAATGCGTATAATTTCTGTACTGCTGTCGGAAATCAGATCATCACTGTTGGGAATGGCAGCGATCTCTCTGTAATGCTTGCAGAAATTATTACTTACATCATCTTATTTCTTGGTTTTCTAGGTACCTTTGTCGTTGAAGTTCGTAGTGTGTTACACGAAGAACGATGACGAATTGGAATCGGAACGGGGGGCCGTGGAAGGATTGATATTTTAAACAACATCCCTCACGATGACGGCGTCACATTCCCATCCAGTGGTATTTATTGTGCGTGGAGATTTGTTCACGTTCCGTGTTTATTTATTTATTTTTCCTTATGTTCTCGTTATTTCGTTGCTGTGATTTTACGCTGACGATTTGAGCGTGTGGAAGAGGATAGGAAATGGTGGTATTCACGGCCTTTCAATCGCTTGGGCATAAAAGGAAAAAAGAGAGTGGAAAAAGTTTTATCGTTCATCTATGTGTCTCGCATTGGTATATTTTTTGCGTGTTGGATTTTCCGTACTGTTTTGAGTCGGTTTTCGGGAGTAATTTCTTCTTCTACAACGTTTTTTTTTTTTTTGCCCAGTGATTTACAATGCATTCTCTGTTCTGATGGGGTGGGAATGAAGAGCAATGTTCTCGGTGGTATATTTTCAATCTTTGGCTGAATCCTTGCGTCTGTATCCATCCAGTGTTTTCAATTTTTTCCTAGCCAAAATCATAATCTTTCGGACAAATTTAAAATTCCAAAAAGGGGCAATTGATCGGAATTCCAGGTGGTACGCACGCTACTATATGGCTATTTCAGTGAGTTCCGGGTGTAATATGAAATTTTAGTGGAAGGAATGACTAAAATCCTGACATTCTCCGGATAACCGCGGTTTTTGGTGCATAGAGGAAAAATAAACTTTTTCAATTGCTTTTCGGGTTATGGGATATTGCTGTAGTTTCCTCATGTTGACGATAAATGTCATAAAACCGAATGGAGGGAAAGGAAAGTTTGTTGAAAGTGTCCCTTTTTTTCGTGAGGCACTACACGTGTTGTGATCGAAGCAATCTGTTTTCAAATTTTTCCTTTCTTACTTGACAAAAATGCTTGAATTATGCATTCGGAACTTCCTGAAATATTCCCGCTTTTTCGTGGATCTAGTAAAGCGTAAATTACTTTATATTTGCCTGATTAAGATTATGCGATGGATGGGGAAAATGTTCGCGAATCCCGACGCATTTTGATTTTCTGTGTTTGTTGATTTATTGTGATTTCTTCGTTGTTTTCCGGAAGCCTTTCTGGGTGTAAATTTCTTGATCCCTGCTTTCCGCCGTGTTGCGCAAATTTTCCCGTCTCAATAGTCCGGAAAATAGGTGAGGCTATTTTTCTTATGCATTTTGCCCGAAAAGTTATTGTGCTGTGAAAGTTTTCCTCGAGTGTAATTTGCTACAATGCAATTTCTTAGATATCGTGGACCTGGAATTTCTTCAAAGTGGAAGACTTTCTCTCGCAGATCGACGCAATAACTTTTCGCGCACCTTTCACTTGTCCCGATTGGTTTTCCTCTTGACTTATATTTGATTTTTGCGTGTAGGGTCCGATGGCGTTGTTCGGAAGCGTGAGGAGTGCCTTTAGGTACCAACAAAGTTCCCTGATTTTGCGGGAAACCGTTCTGGATAGTTTCCTGTGGTCCAAAAGCTTTACATCCATGAGCAGAGTGCCGTATGCTGCAGCATTGTTCAGCATGATGGAGCAAAGTGATCCTGCAGTGAGTCCCGTCTATCACCAGAATAATGATTTTATTGCTAGCAAAGAGTAATTGTTTTATTGCGTGGGTTTTATCTCGTTTTCGTGGCCGAATTGGTGTTTCAGAGATACAGTGTTATGGAATTCGAGATACTGTGCGTTGAATTGCGAACAACGTTTGTTGACATTTTTCAAGTACACTTGAAACTACGTGTGCTTCGTGGTTTTTAAAAGTACTCCGGAAATGTGAGATTTCATGTCCCAGGAAAACCGTAATATTTTATTTCTAGACAAAAAAAATCAAATGGAAGTGAGGCTTAAAACCAGTTGAAAGAATGAATTGACAGCTTCGAAGGAAGATTTTCCTATTCATCAAAAAGTCTTTTATGCAGCGTCGTTTGATTTTGAGAAGTATTTTTGCGGTATAAATTATGAACCTCATATCAGAAAATACAATTCTCTTCAACATAATGACTGATTTTTGAAAATGAGCTCGAAGAAAATGATAGCGTCCGCTTTACACGGAATTAAGTCAAGTATGTATTTTGAAAAGAGGGCCATGTGATCTAAAATTTTCTGCATGAATCTGGGACACAGACAGCCATTTTCAGAATTTTTTAGTGCTCAGAATCCAGAAAAAGAATTCCGCAGGTTTTTACAAGGATTTATGAAAGACTTATCCGTTTATTGTGCCCCTCAATAAGGGTAATCCGTTCAGTGGCAAGAAAAAATAAATCTCCCATCAATCCTTTTTTAGGGCTAAACTCAGTGATGTTAATGAATGATGAATATTAACAGTGAAACCTCGTTACAACAATTCTTTCCCTATAAGAAAATCGTTCCCGTATCCCTGTAGAAAGCGTTTGAAGTACGTGTTGAAAAATCGCAATGAAGCAAACTTTCCAATTTCAGTCGAAAAACCATTTTTTGAGGAATATTTTGAGCTTCTCCTGTTTAAAATATTTCAACTCAGACTGGTAAGGTCTGAAATTTTCCTTCTGAAATGTGTCTTAGCCTGGTTCTTGGAAAATGAATGGAAGTTGGAATCGAGGACAAAACACGTTCAATTTTATAATGAAAATTTAAATAGAAAAAATAATAAATAATAGTTAGTTTGACCGTATTAATTCATGGCGATGACATTTCTCCTGCGTTTCTTTATCAAATTTGATTAGCCTTATTGTTTTGGCAGCGGAAACCTTTGTTGTAAAGGTATTTTACTGCGTTTTTTTTTTCTTGTTACAGCTGATGAGGCACTTCCTGGTGCCTTCGGACGAGATCTTGGCGATTCAAGGAAGAAGACACATGGGTTCGCTAACCAGCGAAGCGAAGCCGCTGAACAAGTCAATGAGTTTGAANCAAATTTTCCCGTCTCAATAGTCCGGAAAATAGGTGAGGCTATTTTTCTTATGCATTTTGCCCGAAAAGTTATTGTGCTGTGAAAGTTTTCCTCGAGTGTAATTTGCTACAATGCAATTTCTTAGATATCGTGGACCTGGAATTTCTTCAAAGTGGAAGACTTTCTCTCGCAGATCGACGCAATAACTTTTCGCGCACCTTTCACTTGTCCCGATTGGTTTTCCTCTTGACTTATATTTGATTTTTGCGTGTAGGGTCCGATGGCGTTGTTCGGAAGCGTGAGGAGTGCCTTTAGGTACCAACAAAGTTCCCTGATTTTGCGGGAAACCGTTCTGGATAGTTTCCTGTGGTCCAAAAGCTTTACATCCATGAGCAGAGTGCCGTATGCTGCAGCATTGTTCAGCATGATGGAGCAAAGTGATCCTGCAGTGAGTCCCGTCTATCACCAGAATAATGATTTTATTGCTAGCAAAGAGTAATTGATTTATTGCGTGGGTTTTATCTAGTTTTCGTGGCCGAATTGGTGTTTCGGAGATACAGTGTTATGGAATTCGAGATACTGTGCGTTGAATTGCAAACAACGTTTGTTGACATTTTTCAAGTACACTTGAAACTACGTGTGCTTCGTGGTTTTTAAAAGTACTCCGGAAATGTGAGATTTCATGTCCCAAGAAAACTTTATTTCTAGACAAAAATAAATCAAATGGAAGTTAGGCTTAAAACCAGTTGAAAGAATGAATTGACAGCTTCGAAGGCAGATTTTCCTGTTCATCAAAAAGTCTTTTCTGCAGCGTCGTTTGATTTTGAGAAGTATTTTCGCAGTACAGTATATATTTGGAGCCTCATATCAGAAAATATAATTTTCTTAAACATAATGACTGATTTTTTAAATGAGCTCGAAGAAACTGATGGCGTCAGCCTTACACGGAATTGAGTCAAGTATGTATTTTGAAAAGAGGGCCATGTGATCTAAAATTTTCTGCATGATTCTGGGACACAGACATCCATTTTCAGAATTTTTTAGTACTCAGAATCCAGAAAATGAATTCCGCAGGTTTTTACAAGGATTTATGGAAGACTTATCCGTTAATTGAGTCCCTCATTAAGGGTAATCCGTTCAGTGGCAAGAAAAAATAAATCTCCGATCAATCCTCTTTTAGGGCTAAACTCAGTGATGTTAATGAATGATGAATATTAACAGTAAAACCTCGTTACAACAATTTTTTCCCTATAAGAAACTCTTTCCCGTATCCCTGTAGAAAGCTTTGAAGTACATGTTGAAACAATCGCAATAAAGCAAACTATAAATTTCAGTTGAAAAACCTTATTTTGAGATTCTACTGTTGAAACATTTTTAACTCAGACTGGTACGGTCTGAAGTTTCCCTTTTGAAATGTGTCTTTGCCTGGTTCTTGGAAAATGAATGGAAGTTTGAATCGAGGACAAAACACGTTCAATTTTATTATAAAAATTTAAATAAAAAAATAATTAAATAATTGCTAGTTCGGCCGTAATAATTCATGGCGATGACATTTCTCCTGTGTTGCCTTATTGTTTTGGCAGCCGAAACCTTTGTTGTAAAGGTATTTTACTGCGTTTAAAAAGAACAATGTCGACTACTCCGTGAAGGACCACGGAAGCCTGCTCTAGAACCGCTAAGTTCCTTCTTCTGTGTACCCAAGCGATTGGTCGCTTCGCTTCGGCGACTTGTTCAGTTACTCAAACTTGATCCTCAAGGCTACTCCGGAGCAAGCCGAGGTTTGGAAGAACCCCGAGGCTCGCCCTGTTGTTGTTCTTGTGAGCTGGTTGTTGGCGAAAGCCAAACATATTCAGAAACATGCGGAAATTTATCTGAAGCAAGGATTTGACGTGATCACGCTCGAGATCAAGCCATATCACATGCTCTTTCCGGAAAAAGGTGCTCAGGTGAGATTGTTGATTCGTTTTTTCTTCCTTTTCCGGGCGTTTTCTAACAAAGGCAGGGGTTCGCAATTTATGTTTTATGCAACGTCAGTTCCAATTATATTTTTAGTCTTCTCTGCAAGTCATGGAATTGTCTTGTTGTCAGTTTTACCTCTTCGCGGTTTTCTATTGTCAGTCATGCATCAGTACAGTATTTAATTTTTTTCGTCTTTCTCTTCGTTCATCTAGATTTTTGTTCCAAAAGTAAGGATTGCGTGTTTTGTTTTAATCCATGGCTTTTAAGATGTTACGTTGAAGAAGTCTTCGAAAAGCAGGTTTATATCTCGATTCTTGTTTCGAACGTGAGGATTGCGGTTTTAATTCGTTGTTAAAAGTATACTTCAGTACCCACCGCAAGTCATGGGAATGTCTTGTCAGTTTCATTCCCTTGTGCTCTTCTATTTCGAGTCATGCATCAGTACGGTACTTCATTTTATTGCGTTTTTTTTTGTTCAGCCATTGGCAGAAGAGTTGTTGGATTACCTCGTGGATCACACGGGACGAAGGCCGTTGTTTTTGCACGGTTTCTCTGTTGGAGCGTATTTCCACGGAGAGCTGCTGAACAAAATGCGAGGGAATTCCGACAAGTATTCCGGAATTGAAAGGAGAATCCGTGGGCAAGTTTGGGATTCCATTGTGGACTACGATCACATCCCGATCGGATTCCCGAAAGCCGTCAGCAACAACATGTTCTTGCAGCGTGCACTCGAAGTTTACATCAGGTGACTAATCACTTTGAAAAGATAATGGTAATTTAGCTTTTTTGGAAGGAGAAAGTGCTTCTTTTTATGGCGGAGTAAGGTAAACTTTTGCCAGAATTTCATTCATTCCGTTGAGTTGAAGACTATCTTTGAGGCGTAATCGAGAAGTTCGTCTTTTCGCCGAGTTATTCAGCCAACTTTTCATTTTCAGTGTTTTGTTTGATTTAGTCAGTTGGTCAAGAAGTAAGCGTAACGTTGAAGTTTTGAATACCTTGTACAGTATTGGGAATTCTTTCGATTTTACATCACCGTTTTATTTATTCATTTTTAATCAAAGGAAGAACTTGAAAAGTTACAATCGTGTGAAATGTATGAAGAAATTTGACCGTTTTCGGAGTTGAACGATACCGTCTTGAATTTCAGGAAAAATAAATGTTATTTGGCATACAATAAAAATAAATTATTGAATTGGAAAGGTTCGACAAGTCGTTAGTATACCTTTCTCATCCCACTCTACAATGTAATTCGCTCTTCTGATTTCTCATTTTCAAGATTTTAAATCCGAGGATATTTTTAGGTGTCATATGAAAGCATTGAGTGCCGCAGCAACGAAACATTACGTCAAGTCGAGCCGCGCGTTCCAGGAATCGCCGATTCCTGTGCCTGCGTTGTTCTTTGCATCCCATGCCGACCCTGTCGGGGTTGCTTACAAGATCGCAGGCTGTGCTGAAAAGTGGAGTTCCTTTCACGGCATTCCAGTGAGTTGAACGCCATGGATACAGGATCCGTCGTTCTTGTAGATATTTTTATAAAATACTGCAGTATACAGTTGCCTACCGCGAAGTTCAAGGGTCCAGAAACAAGTTGTTGAGAAGAAAATTTCCTTGTAAAGAACCTCTATGAAGTGGGGAGAGAACCCTGTGTGACCAAGAGACAATTTGTAATTCAGCGGAGATTGTTGTCAAGGGTCCATTTGTTCGCGCTGTATTTATTTGAATTCCTCGTGCCCTCAAGTAAGACGCGCACCTGAAATTGTCAGCTTAAAATGTTGATAATCCTATCCCCAATTGAATGCGTCCGACATTTTTAGTGATTTACTGAAATACTCCATGTGGACGCTAGAATTTGGCTTTTCTAGAATTTGGCTTTTCGTATCATAACCTGAATTCAATTGATTTTCAATTGTTTCCATGAACAATGATTCTGTTGAAATTGATCCACATTTCCCGTTGTAGTCACATATGGAGCACACCTAAACTTCTAAATCTATACTCGCTTTTTTTCCTCTCTTTCCTATCGAGAAAGAGATACGTGTGTTACTTGAGTAAATGCAGTAGTTCCGTGCGTATTTTTCAGTGATTTGGCTCCTTTTGAAAATTGACCTTGGTTTCTACAGCGTGTAAAATATCTAACTGAAACAAACGTGATGTACCTCATATAAATACTCGATGTCCGAACTGAATTCAATTCCAGTGGTATTTGAAAAATGCGAGCGACATCTGTATATACGAAATGTAACCACGGAACTCGGAACGAGCAATGTTTGTTTTGCGTGATTTTGCTTGAAAAATTTTAAATGATTAATCGTGACCCCTTTTTTTTCGTGCGGCAACTCCTTTCTTATGTTTGCGAAGCTCAATGTGTTGAATAACTTTGTCCATAGACTTACGTGAAAGTTTGGAAAGAAAGCAAACACGTGAGCCACTACCACATGCACCCGAAGGAATACCAGGCTGAGTTGGCGGCGTTTTTGGACCACTTGGGATTCCTGCCGAGGCCGGAACAAGTAGCTTCTTTCCACCAGGACAAACTTCCGACGGAAGTTTCCAAGAGCAACGGGAAACGCGACGCTCAAAAGTAGACTATCCACAATTTCATCATCTTTTCCTTTTTCCGTGCTGACGGTATATTCTTGTTGGTTTCTGTTGCTTTATTTTATTTTTTCCAGCATCGAAAAATTGATACCGGCGATTAAGTTTTAAAAGCGACGAGTCGGCGGCTTTCGGTTTTATCCCGGTTGCTTGCGCGATTTTCGTTGAAATTCGTGAGATGATTTGTGCACCCGGAATCGTAACGTTGGTGGATTTCAATTTCGAGGTGAACTGTGATTTGAAGCGAAAAATATTCAAGATGGGTTCTTTTTATTTTGAGTTGTCGTGATTAAGGATGGACTGAAAGGATAGCACGAGATCTCAGAGGATGGACAGCGGTGTTCTTGACCGGAGAGAAGGAAAAATTCATGAACGTGGACAGAGAATTCGCTAATCATTCTACCTTGACTTCGCATTCTTTTTGTGTTTATGTAATCACTTCTTTATTTCCTGTCTGTTGTAGGAAATTTTCCGCTTTCAAAATCCTGGGAGTACAGTACAGTATTTTATGTGAATATATTTTCAGAGGCATCTATTCATTGCCTGGATCTTTCTGCCGTTGAGGTTTGACGTTGCTCTGAATGACTACCTGATTTAATTTTGCGGGCTATAAAACTTCATTTTTTCTGTTTAGTAGAGAAGGATGCATGATTCGTGAGCCCTTTTTTTCAGGGAGGAGGCTATCTTTTATTCAGTTCGACAGTGTGATAGTGATTGCTCGTATGAAGAAAGTTTTTTTTTCGTTTTGTCCGTTTATTGTTGCGAGAAAAAAATGTAACCAAACAGCCGCACCGTTGTATTTTCTTGTGTTCGGAAATCTTCTTTACCATTGGGAACGATCAAAAAATCGGAATCGATCGCTTGACGCTTGTTCAAAGTAAAACAAAACCAGTTATCGTGGGATGGGAAAGATTTTTCGTTGTACTTTTTCCCTGCTTGTACCTCTACTCGATGTGGATAATTTGTCTAACACTTGCTTATTTGTTTTTGGTACATTTTTAGTCACTGGATTTGAAGTGGTCTGTGTATTTGTTGCAATGTCGAAAAGAGCTGCGGAAGATGGAGACCCCGGCGGGTCTTCATTTCCGAGCCCAGTGCCGGCTGCCAAGTACCAGAAAATTCAGTTCCAGCCCCTGAATCTGGGCCCCATTTCGACTCTTGAAGAGATGGATAACAAGACACTGCGGTTCCAGAACAAGAAACTCGCTCAGGTCAGTTCTGCATGATTAAAACAGTTATTTCTCGTTTTATTTTTTTTTCTACGAGGGACGGTATATAAGTTGTGTCTCAGGCCAGGTGGAAATAAGCAGAATTTCTCCTGAGGAATATTCTTGGGATTTCCTTAATATTGTACTGTAATTTAGCTCACCCAGGAAACGGCGTTAAAGGTGCTCCCCATGACTTCTGTGGAATAAAGTTCACGTTCTATACTTGCATTTTTAGGAATATCAAGTTATCTTTCGAATTAAGACGAAATAATTCAAATATCAGAAACCCTTCTCTGGTGAGTAATAGGATTTCCCATTTCTTTAAAACCGTTTTACATTGAAATAAAAGCGTTCTAATCTCTACGCAATTGAGGTGCTGAATTTAAAAATTTCTGGAAATGATATTTTGGAGCAGAATAGGTTATACAAGGCCGTTGAAGAAAATCTTGCTTCAAGTTTTCTTGTTGCCGAAAGTTTTTGAAGGATTTTGCCCCAAAATTTCAGGCACCCGAAGAACTTGATTTCAATTTATTTTTACACAACCAAGAAACTTTCCATCTTAATTCTGGTTTTTTTTTTACACAACCAAGAAACTTTCCATCTTACTTCTGGTTTTTTTTTTCCTGGAGACTTGAAAAATATTCGTGAAAATCCTAGCCGTTATTTAACTTTTTCTATTTACCCGCTGTAAATTCCGCAGAAACTGGAGCAGAGGCAACGTTCTGAAGCCGTGTTACGCCAGAGAATTGAGCAACTAGAAAAAAGGCAAACTCAAGACGATGCTTTGCTCAATGTTGTGAATCGCTATTGGAATCAGTTGAACGAAGACATCCGTATATTGTTGCAAAGGTTCGACTCTGAGGCCACCGACGATGCCGAAGAAGACAAAGGTTAGAAAAAAAAGATTGCCTTATGCTACCCTTTTTTTTATCTACGATCTGTTTCAATGAAATTTGGACTATTTTTAACTGATTGCTCTTGAGATCATTTCTGCCGCCATAAATTTTTTCAGCAATTAGCTGAAGTTGAAGTCCTTTAATTTAGAGAACATTTGAGAGGCTACATCCGGCATTTTCTCCTAAAATTTCAGACGTGTGTCGCCGGAATCTAGAACATGACGAAGATTTTACTGCCCCGGAACGGGTTACGCTGTTTAATTTTTTGGTTTAATACCATATCTTCGAACACAGAATGAATCTTATTTTATTAATACCCCATTCACTAAAAATTAAAGGCTTTGTCTGTATCCGCGAGAGGAAAGAATCGTCTCACGTTCAAGTAAATGTGAGTCTCAACGTATGAATTTAATCCGCTCTGCTGGAATTGAAGGTTGAGGGATTGAGTTGCCGAAGTATGTCCTCCCAATGATCATTTTCACGAGACATTTTCTCATGCAGGGCCAGCAGGGTCGTTTTTAACCCAGTTGGCCACCTGGGATTGCCAGGAACTGGAAAAGAAACTCGCGCAGCGAGTCCAAACGTCTCAACGAGCCGTGCACAAGGTCCTTCAAGCCTTTGACCACTTGCTCCAGCGACAAGAACGTCTCGGCGCTGCTCTTCGCGATCTCACGTCCACCACCAGCACCGACGAAGACGAAGACGAGAAGGACAATGACGAGAACGCCGCCGTCGAGAAGCCCGTCAAGGAACAGCCCGCAGTGAAGGACGAGAATGAAGACGGAGAACAGAAGCCGGAGAAGGAGGAGAAGGGCGAGGAGGAGGAGAGGAAGGTCAAGAAGGAAGACGAGGAAGAGGAGAAGAAGGATGACGATAGTCGATCTGATGATGATGAGGCCCGGCGAAGACGCAAGAAGGAGAAGCTCATGCGGCAGATGAAGGAACAGCGGGATCGCGACCGACGGAGGCGAATGATGTCCAAGCAACGTTCCCGAAAGGTACTGAACCCCTCGCTTTTCAGGACATCTCCTCTGCGTACAAAGAAAAGGAAACCCAAAGAAAATTTAAAGTCAAACCTCGATTTAGTGCCATCATTGGTCGTGGCAGATTTTGTGGCTCTGAGCTATAGTGGCTTGAAATCGAGGGTCTCGCAAGAAAGGAAGGTTTAGTATAGAATTACTGCTGTATGCAAAATAAGCTTTATTACAGAATTATTAGGCTACTGTGTCCGTTTTATGAAAAAGAAACCCACGTGTCCCAGGGAAATTTGTGACTCAACGCTTGGTTGGCACTGAATCGATGATTGACGGTAAATAATTCAAATGATCGTTTATTTTTTCTGGAACTTTTACATTTCTTTCATGTTTCTATGCTGCCTTAAAATCCTGGAAGCGTCTGAAAATGTTCGTGCGTATTTTATTTCCGGAGACGCAGAAAAGATCTATTATTCTTTTAAGGAAACTATCTTCAGAAATTTTGACTATACTTCTGAATGGTTCTTTACACTTGAACGTAATTTCTTTCTGAAACGTTAGGCAAATGTTTTCCTAATGAACATGACGTGGAATAAACTGGATCAAAATTCGAGTGACATCTATTCAGTGACGAAGTAAATCGCGTTCAGTAATCGGCGGCACTATAAGTTTTTTTTAGAAAAAATGAATAGAATCTTGTATGAACCTGCTTTTGAATCAAGTCCCGGAATACATTGAAATGTACTTCTAATTGTTCAAGGAGGGTGAAGATGGTGATGAAGCTGTCGACGATACGGACAAAGAACGCCGCAAGAGCCGAGAACGTCGTGAGCGAGAGAAGGAACGCGACCGTCGACGCAAACGTTCGAGCCGGGCTGTCAAATTCGACGAAGTTGTCAAAAAAGAATTGGAAGAATGTCAAGTGGAAGCCAAGAGACTGCACGACTTGAACGTTTCACTCCACGAAAAGCATCACATCATGTCTCTGAAGGTTCGTTCGTCATCAATAAATCAATCGCGTAATTTTATTTTTACATGGCATGTTTTTTCTGCAGTGGGCTGAAGTTCAAGAAAAGTTGTCTGCCGAAGAGACGAATAACCTTGAGTTGAAGAATCGCTTGGAGGAGTGGATGTACGAGTGTACAAATGTCCAAACCCGGTGTGACAAATTGGAAACGCACTTGTCGGAAGCTTTAGAAAAGCTGAGGACTTACGAGCTGGAAAACGAGGAGAAACTCCGTCAGGATCCCAAGTCTGGGACTTCCAGCGTGAAGAACATTCCGAATTTGTCTCAGAAGAAGGTTTGTGTTTGATACTAATGTAATAAATTCTTTATTCCTCCGTTTTCCTCGCAAAAAAATTATCTCTTCTCAACACCATGTTACTCTTACTTCGCTCTAAATTGCAAAGCCTGTCTGTGTGCCCTACGCCCGAGTTTTTTTTATCCTGTCCTTAATTTTTTTTTTTGCGAAGAATACATTTTTGAAGCTGTCGCCGCCCTTAATTTACGTAATTTTTAATGAAATAAAAATCATGCAAGGTGGAAGAGCTTCAGAGAGACGTGGAAGAGCAAAGAGAACTCGCGAGCAGTCGCCTAGCGGAACTGGAGAAGCTGCACCAGAGCCACAAGGAAGCCCTGCAGGAAGTCGAGTCTCTGAAAATGGACATCAAACACCTGCCGGAGTCCGTGATTGTGGAAACTGTGGAGTACAAGTGTCTTCAAAGCCAGTATTCCGTGTTGTACAATGAATCCGCCAAGATGCAAATGCAGTTGGAAGAAGCCCGGGCTCAGTTGATGAACATGAAGGCGGAGACGCTGCGGAACATTGAGCAAATGGAAAGCGAGGAGTTGATTTGTCAAAAGAAATTGAGAACTGAGATGATTGAGCTGGAGGACGTTGTGGCGCAGTTGAGGAAGGAGTACGAGATGCTGAGGATGCAGTTTGAGAAAAACCTGGTGACCCACGAACAAACTCAACCCATCAATCGAGAAATGCGGAATCTCATACAGAGTCTTCAGACTCACAATCAACAGCTTAAAGGTCAGAATATAGGATTTTTGTCTTAGTCTTTGAGAATCTTGAAATTAACTTCTTTGGGTGCCCTAATTTTTGTACAGTATCAGAAGTCTCAGTTTTCTCGACAGATTTTTTTTTTCTTTGCAGCCCTAAATTGGTTAATTTCTTGGTAGCTAAACTACACTTGCAAAATCACTTATGCAAAAATATTCAGAATGAGCACTTTATTTTAGTATTTTTTCTCAGATCTTCGGTAGTGTCACTGGAAAGATTTTTCATCAATTTAGACACAGTAATATCTCATTACAACGAAGCTGTTGGGACTAGGAAGCTTAATTCGTTATAAAATGATCCGATTATCATTATTGCTAATGAGCAAAGACCAGAAAAAGACTTCTTCGTAACCAATAATCCGTTATAATGAGATTCGTTTTAACGAGATTTTACTGCATTTGGTTGCCCTTGATGACGTTGAAGAAAAATTGGCATGATGAGGTAATACCGCAAATGACCCGAGTCTCAAAATTTCAAAGATAGGATGGGATTTTAATTTAGGGTAGGTTAAATCTTCAAGTAATTATGCGAAGTCTTGAAAAAGTTGTTTTTGATACTTGTCGTTCTGTTGTTCGTTCTTTTTGCGTTTGCTTTGATGATGTGCTCGTTTTCAAGGGAAATCAGATTGTACGAATTTAATTGAACTTATATTCTGAAAATTTCAAGTGATCAATTCGAACTTGTGTCAATTCAGGGGAAGTTCTTCGGTACAAGAAGAAGGTTGTGGACCTCCAGTCGGACGTGGAGCGACTTCAAAAGGAAACTGAGAAACCAGCTCCAGTCAAACGTGAAGAAAAACCCGCCAACGAGCTCCAGCCGAAAAGCGAAAGCGAATCCGACCGAGAAGACGTGAAACCCGACGTGACCAAAGAACCCAAGTCCGAATCCACGAAGGAAGAGTCGTCGGAACCCGCAAATGCAACATCCGAACCCGTTCCCCCGAAAACCGAAGAGCATGAGCAGAAAGAACCCACTGAGGAACCCGAAAAGCAAACCCCGACCCCGAAAAAGAAATCCTCTTCCAAACAGAGTTCTCAGTCGTCGAAACAAGACCAGGAAACCATCAGAGACCTCAAGTGCCAACTCAAGAAGGCGCAGAATGATCAGAAGGAAATGAAGCTCCTGTTGGACATGTACAAAGGAGCAGCGAAAGACCAGCGAGACAAAGTGCAGCTCATGGCAGCCGAACGCAAGGCGAAAAACGAGATTGAAGACCTCAAGCAACAGCTCAAGAAACTCCAGGAAGCGAAGCAAGACGAACGGAAGCGAATGTCGGAAGAAGAAGCCTTGAAGAAGATCTCGAAACTGGACGAAGAAAAGCGTCAGCTGACGAAAAACGTGGCGGCCAGCAAGGCGGAAATCGAGGCCATCATCAACGAGATGGAAGTCACTGGCCAAGCCTTTGAAGACATGCAAGAGCAAAACGCGAGACTCATTCAGCAAATGCGTGAAAAGGACGACGCGAATTTCAAACTGATGGCCGACAGGATCAAGTCGAACCAGATCAACAAACTCGCTCGGGAAGAGAAACAGATGTTGAATGAACAAGTCAACAATTTGAGTACTCAGTTGGAGGCCCAGGGGGAAGTGTTGAGGAAGCTGGAGGAGAAGGACAGGTTGCTGGCGACCCAGGTTGCAGGGCTGGAGAAGGAGTCGCATGTGAGACAACAGGCGTTGGAATTGCATAGGAGGAAGGCCCTGGAGGCGGCTCAGGCGGCGGCGGACCTGAAGCTGCACTTGGAAAAGTACCACACGCAAGTCAAGGAAGCCCAACAAATGTTGGCTGAGAAAACTGGTGCACTTGAGCAGGAAGCTTTCCGGTCAGTACTCCTATCGTTGTTTTTTTTTTTCTTCGTTTTTTTTTTTAGCACTGTACATGCTGGGGAACCCCGAAGATTCGACGTAGGGACGCTTGAAACAAAGAGTAAATTGAATAATTGTGTTGGGCGTTCATTCTATTCCGAAGTTCGATTTCAGCGTTCATGGACTTGGCCGTTTTGCAGTTGTAAGATACTGTATAATATTCCAATACTGTATTCAATAATGAAGAGCATATCTTAAATTTTCAAATTTGATATAATTTTCAATTGAATTTCAATTGAATCTAATTTTCAATTAAATCAGCAAAAATGGATTAGAGAAACGACGTTTTCCTTTTTCAAAAAATGACATCTCTGTCGGACGCCTTTTCTTTTGGTGGGTGAAATTTGTTGAATAAAGTCAATAAACTTTAATTTTAAATTTCTTGATTGAAATCTAAAAGGCTTTGGATCCGCAAGTACCGTCTTTACTCGAGTACCATGCGCCTTTGAGTACCAGGGGGTTTTCAATCACAATTTTTCATGAAATTCTATCCCAGAGTAAGGAGCGCACCCCGCTTTAGTGACTCGAAAACCGCAAGTTTTCAAAAATAATTTCACCCGAATCTGGATTTATACATGATTTGATACTTGATTCAACTAATTTTCAAATACATGTATTTCTTTTACATTAACTTTTCTTATTGAAATTGGTCCAATATTTTCGATTATACACTATATTAAAATATAATGCTGACCTAAATTTGTAAAACTTTTAAAAATGTACAGTATACCCGTCCATGACGCGCACCCCCTTTTCCCCATTCAGTTTTTTGAAAAAAGGTGCGCGTGGTACTCAAATAAATAACTTATTTGTTCACCTAATTTTTATTTGACCGTTGCTTGTTTTTATACCCAAAGGTTGAAGCGAGCCCAAGAAGAAATGGCGACGCTTAGAAGGAAGCTGGAGCGAGCAAAGAAACTCGAGCAGGCTGGAACTGCGGACGAGGTGTTGCTTGAAGAAATCCGTGAATACAGAGAACAACTCACTTGTCCCTCCTGTCAGGTAAGTCGGAAACAATGAGTCGAGCAATCGACTTTTTCGAAAACTATTTTGTTTTGAAAATAACGAAATTCCCTCGCGTTTCCAACAGGTGAAGAAGAAAGACGCTGTGTTGACAAAGTGCTTCCATGTGTTCTGCTTTGAATGCGTACGGACACGTTATGAAACTCGGCAAAGGAAATGTCCCAAGTGCAATGCGGCGTTTGGAGCGAATGATTATCACAGACTTTATTTGTCTTGAAGTTGTTAATTTCCGTTCTCCGAGTTGAGAAATTGTGAAAACCTTTTTTTTTTTTTCTATGATATCTCTCCCGATTTTGTGCATGCAATTCGTATTCCTTGTTTTTCTGTGATCGGTGATTGCAGAAATTCAATTGTTCTCTTTCGATTTTGAGTTGTGGATATATTGTAATGAAGTTTATTGATACATGCATTTTCATTCCTGGAAAACTGTTTGGTGCGCAATAATGAAAAGCTGTTTTTTTTGATTGCAGGAATATGATTCAAGAAAGCATGGTGATGTCTGCAGTGATAGCTTGCAAAATGTATCTGCATGGAAGCATGTCGAAAAATGTTCCAGTAACCTGCTGTTATAATCTGAAAAGGCAAGTTCTGGCAATTATTTTTTAATTCTGTTGTCAGAAGAGATGGGTTGAGAAAGACATTTATTGAGCAGCCTTTGGAAAATTGTGGAACTTGGAAATTACTGAACATCTCACTTGAAAAAGTTGAAGTACTTTCCAGTAGTTTGAATTATCTTTTGCTTGTATTTCTTTAATGGTCATGTCAAGATTAAGTGAAGGTCAGTTCAGCAGTAAAATTCAAATCACTGAAAATGCCAGGTAGGATGTGCCTATGCAAGCATCTCTTGATTTAATGGGCTATAAGATTTCAGTACAACTGCGCCCATAAGACTGCTGTGGATCAGTGTCTGCATTCTTACTGTTGACATTCTGTGTCAGTTCAATTGAAAATTCCTCAGGCTTTCAAAATGATGCAAGTGCTGTTATTGCACAGAAATGCTGTACAATCAAAATACTGTAAGTGCAAACCACTGCTGGACAGTACTTCAATTAATGAAAATGCATTAACTACAGTATTTGAATTGTACCAAGGAACTTGTTTATTTATTGACAATTTTTTGTATTGCTTATCTAGGTCAAGTAGAAAAACTCCTGAGCTGGGGACGATTAAAGTCACCCATGGATATTTTTACCACGTTTTTATGAACTCACTTTCTTGTCTGTCTGTCTGTTTGTCCGGATCAAATTTTGAAACTCAAATTTCACTCACTTCCCGACTAGCTATCAAGCTGAAACTTTCAGGATGAAATAGATGCGCACCACATTTAAGGTTATTCTTTGCTTTTTGAAAACGTGGTTTTTTAGATTAATTTTTTAATCTACTATAATTTCAACGCTGGATTTGGCTTTTTTTTGCTTGGGTTTATCAGAAGTGTTGAACTGGTTGGATAATTCATTACCAGCAGAAGCCTGAAGGGCGACACCAAGCTTTTGCCATGAGAGCAGAACGAGGAATGTGCGCTACCTAGCGAGCAGAGGCGAGATCATCGTGAGTAGTTACTAAGTCGTACAATAGGTGTCACGTTATCCACTAAACTAAAGGGTCGGTAAAACTTTGTTCGGGCAACCTTGAATGTAAAGTTCAATTACCTTGAGGCTGGAGGAGTAGAAAAGCAAGCAGTTCCTGAATTATCGCAGGAATTCCTGGTCTCTTGAGGTGTGAAACTTTCTTTGTTTAGCTCAAACCTATGAGAAAAAAACACGCTTCCTGTGTTTTTCATCCTGCAAATATTTCGGAACACGGCATATTTTGAATAAATGGTCTTTTCTACGTTCTTGATTGACTCAGTTATCCATGATTCGCATTCTTACTTGTGTAAGTAATGCAAATACACATGAGCAATGAATTTGTTGACTGAGGCTTGCGCTTGACTATGTTCTGTATATAGAAAAATTTACTACAGTATATAACTAAGACTTACAAATGTGCGAGTTGAAGACCTCGCTGATATTTCACATTCACAGATCACAGTTCCATATTTCCAAGAGGAATACAATCGGTGAGCCAAAATGTAATGAGAGCATTGGGATCTGGAAAAATTGTCAACCTTCATTGTTTATGTTGTCAATTTCAACTTCATAGAAAATTCAAAGGAGAATACATCCAATTTGTTTTCTATCAGTGCATATATTTGCATTATTCTTGAAATAATTAACTTTAAAACATGTGAAGGCAGGTACGAATATCTTTTGAATTTGTTGACAACTTTTCCTCTTCGGATGTGTTAAAAAATCAATAAGTGTATGTGCCACTATATCGAAGTAGATAACTAGTAGAACCTTATAATAATTAAGTCTTATTTGCTTACACTCCATGACATCCGTGTTGAAAATGTTCTGCATTTTTGATGATGACTGTGTACCATATTATGTGAATGAAAATATAGTATTACTGTGTATTTCATCCTAAAAACTGTTGTAATATTGACTCTCTGTGTCTCAATTAAGCCACAATAAACATATATCTTCATTCACTAAAAGTTCATTACATTAAGTTTGTCAGAAAGGTCATGTCCCTTATTGGTAAAGCTTATTTAAAGAGTTCATAATTAAAAAATGAGTTCTCTTATAAAAAATGTATCTGTAATGCATATATTTTATAAAGAAAAAGTGACTTGCATGGAAAATTTGTTCTATACATTGAAGTATTTTCATGATAAGAAATAAGACAATTGTATTGAGCTATATTTTTGCCAGAGAATTTTTTTAAATAATGGTAATGTACTTGTGTTTGTCTCTGATTTGGAAATTCATGTTGTTGGATTGTTTATTATTTCCTCCAGGAATGAATTAAAGTACGATAGTCTTCCCCCCTCATGAAATCCGGGGTTAGAAATTAAAACCAATGCCCAGTCTGTGTCACATGTGCCACCATGATTATATACGTTATTCACGCGGTCAGTGTGTGATATATACGCGGAACACACACACACACTGACACATGAAGTTGGTGGAAAAACGAGCGTGCCAAGTTGTCAACGCCCATTTTTCATACATTCGCTTATATATATATATACTGTATTGAGCGTCACGAACCAGTAAAGCTACTGTGAAATACATTTTTTTGTGGGTAATTGTGCTGGTTATACTGCGCAGGTGTGCGTGTGTGTGTGTGTGTGGAAGTATGACAAAACGTTGGGTACGCGCATATGGGAGTGGTTATAGATGGGGTTCGGGTTAGGATCAATTACTGCCCGGATCTCATCCTGCCCCATTTGATGTCCTTTGTCTTTTTTTTTTTTTTTTTAGCGCGTTATTATAATTTTTTCTGGCGTGCTTCCTTTTCTTTATTTTTAGTGGAGAGATCATTTCAACTTAAAATCATTACCTATAGATAATCCAGTTTAAATTTATATGCTTATTCAATGTAAAGAAATAAATTACAAATAATGACTGAACTTTCGGTTATTTACCGTCGGTCCCCGCATTACTAAAAACCTATTTATACAACCCAGAATTTTCATCAAAAAATGTTTGGGGGTGAAAAAGTTATTCAAAAAATAAAATGGCTGCTTACAATCAAATTTTTAGGCTGGAAGAGCTAAAATGTCATTAAATTTTGAATTGAAACTTTCAAAATGTTGATACATTTAAATTGAAAGAAACAATAATTAAAAAATTGCATTGCATTACTTATTCTGCTTTTAAAATTTCTGAAATTCAAGAGTAAGAATATGGGTCAGTGTTATGGCACAGTACTGGAATTGCACTCTTTTCAATTTTAAATTTACTATTTTGAGTTGAAAATATAAACAAATTCTATGGTTTATTATATTCTTTTAATGTGTGTCTGAAAAAAAGAAGGAAAAACAAGTTTTGCATAAAAAGGAGCAGATTGGTTTTTTACACCATTGGACTCACTGGTGTAAATTCACTTGAGGAATGGGGTAGGGATTTTATGAGTACTGAATAATAGTCTCCTTCTTATTGGCTTTTGAAAAAAGATCCAATGCAGAGCAATTCATTGTACAGTTGGACCTTGTCAAGCCACACCTCATTAAATTGCAAACTGTCTTAGTTTAAGTTTCCAGTTAATCCCTGGAAGTCCAATGAAATTTAAACCCCTTCTAACTTGAAACATTTTGGATCAAAACACCCATATAGTTGAACGTTTGAGTCCCATTGTTTGTTTCCTAAATTGAGGCTACATTTTGAAGTAAATTTTTGAACCTAAAATTTTTTTGTAAAAGGATTTCCGGAAAATCAAAAAGGGAAGGAAGACCATTTTCTCAATTGTTCTCCACAAATAATTGTAGGCATCTTCCTGCAGCGATGACATCTATGAATAATGAGCAGTTAGCCCAGGAAAGAATATCAATATTCACTAATAACCTGTGCAAATGAAGCCAGCATTCATTAACTAGAAAGAAAAAATTTCTCAAACTCAAATTTGTTTTTGAGTCCCCTTCAAATTTGCCATGGAAAGGTTCAACAGTATTTAAACCAGCACCGGGTGTCATTTGGACTTCTCTCATGCATTATTTTCTTCGATCTTTATCAATAATATGCATTGTTCTTTCTTTTGTTGCTGAACGTTTATTGCATGGGTGCAGGGGGAACCCGGACCCGGTAATTGGACCATGACGCGGTTCCGAGTGCTGCTGCTGCTGCTGCTGTACACATGCGACCCTTGGTTCCTGGAGGGGAGTTGAGTCCAGTTTGCCAGAGGGTGCCTGGGAGTGAGTGAGTGGTCTGTTTATTTTTATTTCTTCAAATTTACTCGTATTTTCTCATACCATGCATGCACCGGGTGAAGGGGAGAGACGGAGCCATATTTTTGAGTGAATTCAGAAATGGTGTTGTTCCAAGTACAGAGTATTATTTGTGCAATGGAACAATTGAGGCTTAGGGGGAAATGATGCCTGTGTGCATGAGGGATAAAGGGGAACGAAGGGAACACGTTTTTGAGTGAATTTAGAAAGGGTGTTGTTCAAACTATTATTTGTTATATGGAGGTTTAGGGGAAAATGAGGCCTGTGTTCATTTTATTGTACTGTACATGAGGTATAAAGGGGAAAGAAGGAGCCATTTTTTGAGTGAATTCAGAAATGGTGTTGTTCCAAGTATTATTTGTGCAAAGGAACAATTGAGGTTTAGGGGAAAATTATGCCTGTGTGCATCAGGGATAAAGGGGAACGAAGGGAACACGTTTTTGAGTGAATTCAGAAAGGGTTTTGTTCAAACTATTATTTGTGAAATGGAGGTTTAGGGGAAAATGAGGCCTGTGTTTATTTTATTGTACTGTGCATCAGGTATAAATGGGAAAGAAGGAGCCATTTTTTGAGTGAATTCAGAAATGGTGCTGTTTAAAGTATTATTTGTGCAATGGAACAATTTAGGTTTAGAGGAA